AGATGAGGTAGGAACCCTGTCTTATCTTTTTTTTTAACTTTAACAAAAACTTTATTGAGAATTTCATACATGCAGATCAAATCTATGTCCATTCCCTCCCTTCCAACACCTCCCATATTTCCCCATCAATTTTTTTTCTTTTTCTTTTTTTCTTCTTCTTTCATTTATTTATTTTTATGGGGCTTTTGGGTACCCTAAAATATTTTAAGAATTAGATACAAGCTCCCAAATACTTTTCACATTTTTGGCCTTTAGAACAGTATGTTGCTAACAGTCCCAAGGATATTTTGACTTTTAGCCAAGAAACTGGCTACTTTTCTTTGGGGTCTTTTTATCCTAACTGCCTAGCCAATTCCTACCTCATATTCTTATCACGCCATCCTCTGAGGGGGTTACCCAAATTGCCAATAGGGAATAGGGACGCAGACCGCTCTGGCTTCTTCCATGCTGAACAGGGACGCAGGGTGAGGCAATTGGAGTACCCCCTCAGTGGGTCTATAAAAAAGACTCCCAAATTGTATAACTCTTATCTCTAAGGGGAAAAGAAAGTCCTTAAATCATGAATAGGAGATGTGAAGGAGAAGTAAAAGCAAGAGTAATACAGGGAACTAGAAAAAAGTCAGAACAAGGCATGCCTTATCTTTTAATTCATGCCACATATAATAATATCCCGAACAGTTACTTGGTTAATGTATATGAAATAACAACTGAACTACTGCAGAAAAAAGGGTAGCAACTTAGTTGAAGACATCAAAGGGCAGCTGGCATAGATTCTTTTCTCCACTGTTAAATTCAGATGGTTCCCATAAGCAATCCAAGACAGCCTTAAATAACAGAAGCTTAATAAAACTAAGGGGATAAAAGTATTGACCTCTGATAACTCCACATATACATCCAGGAAAGGTTAGATTGTTATGACTAATGTTAAGTACCTACAAGTAGATCAATCCAAGTTGATAGCAGTATGTAGACCATGACCTGAACAGTCCATATTGTATACAAAACAGGTCAGAATCAGTAAGAAGTATATCAAGAACGATAGATAAGACACAGAGGAACTCTCAAAGTGCTCCATTTTCTTCTTAGGGTTTTCTTTTATAAAGATCAGTTATATGTCCACACTTCCTAACTACAGCATATCAGTCTTGTTATATATGGCGCTTACAGGACCCAGGAAAAAGCACTGGACACTTAAAGGGCATGTATCGAACTGAAAATCTATTTTGCTACTAAATTTAGTCAGAATAAGTGATCCAATTCATGTCGCTTCGCTTTGCTGCCTCTAACATGCTCTTCAACCGTGCTTCTATATCATCAAACATCTGTTGGTCTATACTGCCCTGTAAGTGCCATCTTCGATAGCAATGGACAGGAATAGGATAAATCACATGGCTCAACTCCATCAAGGGTGTTAAGTGCTGCAGAATTCTCATGAGCACATTCATTGAAATGGGGTTACAGGCAAAGCTAAGCAAACGGAGTTGAGAACATTGGCTTAGTGCTGGGATGAGAACAGAGACTGTAGAATCTGTCATCAGGCAGTGATCCATTTCCAGATGCTGCAGGGTACCAGAATTCTTTTCCAGCAGATGCTGAAAGGGCCCACAATCTTCCCAATACAGTGGGTTGTTACTAACATTCAACAGCTTTAGATTATTGGTCTGAGGGCACTGGGACAGAAACCTGAAGTCATTGTTAGAAAGTTCACAGAAAACCAGACTCAAGAACTCCAAAGTAGGTGGCAGGACTCTGTGGGGAGAAAGCAGAAGAGCATTTCTTAAGAATGAGGGTTGAATGACAGAAACTATACCTATGAATCTAGAATAAACTATTTTGCACATATATTTTGCAACAGCTAACAATGTGGGCTTACAGACACTTAACAGATGTGTGGTTCTGGGAAATATATTTTTCAACTCTGACAAACAGTAGTTTAACCTTGAAAATGTGCACAGTGTGTTAATGTAGAAGGAAATGCGGAAGATTTAGTGAAAAGTATTAATCATGTTTGCAATTCAAACATAAATGTGAAACTACTTCGCCTATTTGGTGGAGATAGGGCACAGAGAACAGCCAAATTCCTGAAGGTTCCTTTTGTCCGGTTTCTAAGTGACAACCTATATTCATGGCCTAAAGTTTGGAGATAACAGATTAGCAAAATGATCTGACATTAATCAATCATGGGGGTCTGGCAATGATGCTGCACATCGATGCTGAAATAGCATGAAATCCTTCTCCAATTCAACTCCTCTTCTTCTCCAGAAGGCTAGAGAAGGACTGCATGCTATTTCATCTTTATATTGCTGTAGTTAGCATAATCTGTGCACATGCTTGACTGACTAGCTTGATTTTTTGAATCTCGTATTTCTATTCTGTAAGGGGACACAAAAAAGGGACTACTTTTAAAGTTCCAGCATTGCCCATGCTGAAGTGGAAGGAGAAAAAAGTTATGGGGAGCTGAACGATATCCAAGAATATTGTCTCTCTAGTCTTAAAAACAGGCCAGCTGTTCATGAAACCCAGATGAACATGAAACTCCAAGCTTTTACCTCAGGAGACAGTCAAGATGATTTGTGAGGGTGAAAGAAGACAAGTTGAGCTCAGCAAGACTGGTCATACGCTTCAGGTTTGTGGTAAATCTTTTAAAGGTTCTCCCAGTCAAAGATCTACAAATGATTTTAGACAAATTAATACTGTCAAGGTTGGCCATCTGAGTCAAAAGTTTAGTGACTTCGGTCAGAGAAGCCTGCTCAACTGACAGGTAATCAACACATTTCAGATCCAGGAAACTCAAGCTTCCCTTGCAGTCAGACAATTTATCAATTTTCAAATCTCGACAGCAAAGGTGCAAGGTCCCTAAACTCTGCTGTACTTTACGCACAAGCAAAGAAAAAAATTCCCTTCCTTTCAAGGTTCCATTGAGGGAAAGATCCAGTATTATCTGTAAAGACTGCATTGAAGAATGATCCTCAGATTCTGCATTTTCATTTCTACATTGAGCTGGTATACACATGGCAGATTGTGCATAATAAATACAAGAATGAAAACAGACTGATGATGTATCATTGTTTCCAGGGCATGTGATCCTCAAGACAGCATCCTGTCTTAAATCTAGAATCCTCAGTTTAGAGCACCTGTAGGGAAAAGAAAAGACAGAATATCTAAGAAGTAGTAGCAAACATTAATGGAACCCAGTACGATCTGTGACATCATGCAGGGACAAAAAACTTCTTTGTTCCTCATTGTATATACAACTGTCAGCAATTTTTTCTATGCAAATTCCAGAGCCTAAATAATTTTTTATATTGTATTCTCTACTAATTAGCACACTCTTCGTGTTCCTGTCTTCTGTGTAATATGCCGAGTATGCACATCTATTAAGAGTATCCTCACTTACCTCTATAACAAAAATAAATTCTTTTTTTAATACATCAGAGTCTATATGATTAAGCTAACTTTTGGAACAACCACATCATATTCATTTTCAGCTTTTATCATTAACTAAGTCTTGAAGATTACCTGGGACTCTCTTGAAATCTTATCCAGTCTTTATGTATGCATAAAGACTATGTTACATAGTCTTACTTAAAAGTTGAGTTCTAGGCAGAAAGGACACAAAGATCATACTCATGGCTTTCTAGAGTTCATTATGCGTCCCAATTTGGAGACTGAAAAAGGACCAAAAGTTCACAATTGCTATAATATCATATAATGAAAATTCGACATCCTTCATCCTTTATTCTCCTCTAATCCTCAGCAGTCTGAACCACTCATGTTTTTATTCTGTGACTTAATACCCATTATAAATTCATTAACAGTACCCTCAATCCCTTACTTCCATGTCCAACACTGAAATAGGTTAGTTTTAAAGTGACCCCCAGTGACAGACCAACAGGCTTACATTCTTTTTCGGCATTTATCTTAACTACTTCTGAGAAATTAACAGGCTGCAGCATAATGCCCTGCTGTCTGACCATGCCTCTATTATATACAAAGTCTTACCAAGAAGCTGAGGACTGGTCAGGAGTGACCTGAAAACTCTCAATCATGGCTTTCAAGAGCTCCTGCTGTGGCTCCCGAATAGTTAATGTTCCCATATGGAGACAGGGAAAGGGCCAAATCTTCACAATTTGCCTGAGGATGTTTATATGTGCACCCGTGAAGGCAGCATTGAACAATGAAGCATAAAGCCCAGTTGGTATTTTTTCCAGAGCCTGGATCAATGCAGGCTCATCCTTCAGTAGAAGTTGCGTAACAAGATCAGACAGTGTGGGTAGCTCCGTGGGTGGCTCCTTGAACTCCATCTTACTGAATCTGCATCAAGAAGAAAAACTTTCAGAAGCCCTAATCAGTATCAACTGTCTCTTCTTTGCAACCAATGCTAGAAATGTAGAAACTATTTAGAGAATAAGCATGTGGTGCTTTAGACTGCCACCTCTACAGGCAGGTTATAAAGTATTTGTGAATCTATGTAAATATAAGCAACTTACAAGAGTATTTGTGAATACATGTAAATATAAGCAACCCAATGGACATGTGTGTATATGATAAAATGCCATTAGAAATGAACAGTAAGTTATCAGAGGACAATTTTGGTCACTTAGCTGCTTTGCTCCCAATATTTCCTCTCAATTCTATACAAGCTATCAAAAAGGAAAAGACAAGGGTTCGAGAGATGGTTCAGTGTTAAGAGCATTGGCTGCTCTTGTAGAGGACCTGGGTTGGTTTCTAGCACACACATGGCAGCTAACAACCATCAGTAACTCCAGTTCCAGAGGATTTGACACCCTCTTCTAGCCTCTGTTGGCACAATACTAGTACACATAAAATATGAAAATAAAATTTAAAAGTTTTTAAAAAGTTTTGTAAAAGGAGAAGTGATACCATCTCCAATATCTTAACAATAGAAAATATTGAAGCATCAAATTAATTGTGATTAAAGAGAAAATGAATGGCATTCTCCTCCATGCTACACACATGAAGGAATATGGTTAAGGGATTACAAAATGATCTGTAAGTAAGCCCAATAAACTCATTGGTTTTCCAGCATGCACTTTGATGGAATTGTTCCTTGGTTTGTCTTTAGGATCAAGGGAGGAGAGTGTGGTCAATGTTTATATCACTCCCCAAGAATAGGAGTTTTAAAAACAATATGCAGTGCAAAAAATAGCTGAAAACGGGTTAAAAATCTAAGCAAAATGTTCAACCAAGTACCTTCTTTAAAAAAAAACAAAACATGGCATCCTTTACCATTTTTCCTCTGTGGGACTAGGCCTGATGCTTGGGCATCCTGTTGAGCTAGTTGAGCCCACCCACTTTTTCACCATCTACCCTCTCTGGGACTAGGAGGAAGACCACCTGCTCCTGTACTCAGGACCACCCAGGTACGTTCACTGAAATCTGCCTGCTAATTTGTGATCTCCACATTCATAGGCCTAATTGTGATTACTCACCAGGCACACTGTATCTAACTGGAATCACTACATTCCTCCAATTAAAAAAATCAAAAGTAGGAACCTGAAGCACAGAACAACTAACTATTTAGACTTGATCAGAAATCAATCAAGCTATAATAGTAATAAAAAGATAACTAAATTTCTACACAACCATGGCAGTATAGAATTTCATATCAGACACACAACCTATAAAAGAAGCCCATGTGCTCAGGTTACAAAGTAAAAGCACAAGTAATATGAAAAACCAAGATAATATGTTTCCACAAAATCCCACCAGTCTTATTGAAGTGTTATACAGTGAGATCCACCCAGAAGAACTCCAGGACACAGAATGTAAAAGAACAACCATAAAAATGATCAAATAATTCAGTGATTTACAAGAACACCCAGTCACCTCAAGGAGCTCAGAGGATAGGAATAAACTCATTACTGAAGCAAAAGAAAATGCGAATATACAGCTGAATGAAATGACAAAGACAATTCAGTACTGGAAAAGTGAATTCGTGAAATAGAAGTATTAAACAAGCTGAAATGAAGATGGAATTGAAAAACTCAATAAGTCAATTAGAACAGACAGGAGAAAAGCTTACTAACATAATGAATCAAATGAAAACAGAATATCAAGACTTGTATATAAAGTTGGAGAATTGAACTACTTAAGCAAAGAATATGACTTTTTAAAAAACCATAAGAATGGCATATGCAGGAGCTGTGGAACACAATGAAAAGACCCAAACTACAAATAATAGGGACAGAAGAAGGAAAAAGGATTTCAGGTCAATGCCACTGACCAGATCTTCAGCAGGATTATACGTCCCTAAGCTAAGAAAGGCATACCCACACAGATATAAGAAGCACACAGAACACCAAATAGACAGGACCAGACATTCTCCATGGCATTATCAAAGCACACACCCCCCCCCACAAAATATAGAGAATAAGGAGAAGGTACTGAAAGCTGCAGGAGGAAAACAACAAGTTACATATAAAAGAAAACCCATCAGAATTGCAGCTGACTTTTTAACGCAAACTTTAAGAGGCAGAGGAGCCTGGAGCAATGAATGCATTCCAAGTTTTAATGACCACAAATGCCAGCCCAGACTTGATTACCCAACAAAACTATCATAGTCAAAGGTTGAAGGAAGTCTTCCATGATATAAATTGGTTGAAAGAATTCATGTCCACAAAACCAGTCCTGCAGAGAATATTTGAAGAAATATAAAGAATTCAAGAAAGGAATAACCATTCCCAAGAGTTTGTGGAAAGAAAATGAACAAAGGCATAATAATTGAAACACAAAGTAGAACTAAGAATACAAATAGAAAACAAAATGGCAGTAAATAATACACATTTTCAATAATAACTTTAAACATCAATAACCTCAATTCTCCAATAAAAAGACACAAGACAGTTGAATAAATTAAGAAGCAAAACCCAACACCTTCAAAGACTGCCAAGAGTGTCTGACTCTGCCTCTGCAGGGTGAGTTTCTCAAACTGTGCCATGCCTATTCCCCTGTTTTGAGACCATTTGCAGCCCCTCCCACTGCTCCAGGGCTTAGGCTTCCCTTCTGACTTGTAGGGACCAGCACATCCATCTCCCATCTTCTCTCTTTGGACCTTGGCACTATCCATCTGAGGCATTTGAAGTGCTTCTTACTACCTAGGGCTGCTTTGCTCTCCTTGAGAGCCCCTGAGAATCCTGAATGGAGCCATCTGGTCCCTCCAAAATAAAATCAAAAGAGAACCCGAAACCTAGACCAACCAGCTTTTCATACCCAATAAGAAAGCAGCCAAGATACACCAATAATACAAACAGAATCAGACTTAACAAAGGAAAGCTTGAGTTTCATTCCAGAATCACAAGCAACAAAAGAAATCCAAATGCCAAAGCCACAATGAAAAAATAATATGAAAAACCAAAGTAATATGTGCCCACTAAATAGCACCAGACGTACAGAAGAGTTCTACAATGAGAACCTCCTCGAGGTAACCCAGAACACCAAAATTAAAAGAACAATCATAAATATGATGAAAGAATTCAACGAATTTAAAGAACACACAAAGAACTCAAAGAACTAAAAGAAGACAGGAATAAACTTCTAACTGAATTCACAAAAGAGATAGAAATATCAAAGAAAACTCAGACTGAAATGAAGGAAGAAGTGAAAAACTCAATAAGCCAATTTGAAATGATAGGAGAAATCTTCATCAGTTGAATGAATGAAACAGAAAGCAGAATATCAAGATTGGACAATAAAGTTGGAGAATTGGACCACTCTAGCAAAGAACATGAAAAAAAAAAATTTAAAAACAAGAAAGTAATATACAGGAAATGTGGGATACCATGAAAAGGCCAAATTTACGCATTTTCAACAGGATTACAGAAGAAAATTTCCCCAAATTAAGGAAAGATATACCCACAGGAAGCACAAAGAACACCAAATATCCAATAGACAGGACCATGAAAGAAACTCTCCAAGGCATATCGTAGTAAAAACACTAAATGTACGGAACAAAGAGGGAGAGAGTCCCAAAAACTGCAAGAGAAAAACAAGTCACATGTAAAGGAAAATCCACCAGAATTACAGCTGATATTTCAGTGCAAACTATGAAAGCCAGAAGAGCCTGGACCAAAGTATTCCCAGTTCAAATTGAGCATAGACGCCAAACACGAATATTTTACTGAGCAATTTTTTTCTATTTTAGTTGAAGGGGGAAAAAAAATCTTCCATGACATGAGCAAGCTGAAAGAATCCATATCCATCACACCAGCCCTTCAGAGACTACTTGAAGCAAAACAAAGGACTGAAGAAAGGACTGACTATACCCAGGAGGCAACAGAAAGAAATTAAAGGAAAGTATAATGGAGGAAACACAAAATTAGAGCAATAATGCAAACATATCTTTCAATAATAACTCTAAATATCAATGGCCTGAATTCCCCAGTCAATAGACACAGGTTAGTTGAATGGATTAAGAAACAAAATCCATCCATTTGTTGTCTGCAAGAAGCTTGTCTCATCTTCAAGGACAGGTACTATCTTAAGGTGAAAGGATGGAAAGGAATATTCCAGGAAAATAGTACTAAGAATCAAGCAGGAGTTGAAATCCTAATATCTGACAAAATAAGACTTCAAACTAAAACTAATCAGAAGATATAAATAGGGTCACTTTATTCTGATCAAAAGAACAATTAACCAAGAAGATATTACAATATGTACCAAACTTTGGTGCATCCAATTTCATAAAAACAGTACTACAAGACTTTAAGACACAGATTAACCCCAATTCCCTAACAGTAGGGGACTTCAATGCCCCACTATCTCCAATACACAGGTCAACCAGACAAAGAATAAACAGATATCTGAATTAAATGACCTAACAGACATCTACTGAATGTTCAATCCAAGCACCAAAGAATACACTTTCTATTCAACATCACCATAGAAGTTTCTCTAAAATTGACCACATACTGGAGCACAAAACAAACCTCAAAGAATAGAAAAATTCAAATAATTCTAATGCATTCTATCAGTCCACAAGGCAATAAAGCATAAAACAAACACCAAAAAAAGCTCTAGAAAACACACTAGCTTATGGAGATTAAATAACACACTCCTGAATGATGAATGGGTCAAAAAAGAAATTAAGAAAGAAAAAAAAAGTATTCCTGGAACTAAATGAAAATGATAATACAATGCAAAGAAACCTCTCAGACACTTTAAAAGCAGTCATGACAGAAGTTTATAGCTCTAAGCGCCTACATTTAAAAATCAGAAAAAAATCACAAAGAATGGCTTAACATTGCACCTCAAGAAACAGAAAAGGCAGGAATAATGAAACCCA